GCAGTGTTGTTGTTTGGGTAACTTTGGTATGACATGATGCTACCGGGGTTTATGAAAAGGGCGAAAGCGTTCGGAGACGCGGGTGGCTTGTTTTTTTGTTGCCAATTCCTACGAGTATCTTTTTTTAAAGTATCTGCACGCCTCAACTCCAAGATGGATGGGACTTATTGGGTGAGGTTCTTGGGTATTGCCGGATTGGCAGGTACAGTAACCTATTGTGGACCGGGAAAGTGTGTGTTAGACTTGGATGTGAATCGCTTTGTTATAATACTATTTACAGTATGCATATTATTATTATGATATTATGTGAATTTTGCCCCGCGCTTGCAGAAATTTTGAACGAAAAATCAAACCTCTAAAATTCAGCTCAAAAAAGGAAAAAACAAAGGGCAAACCCAACATAATGTGTTATGATACCAGGAATAACACCTACTCGAGTACACTCCCCTGTAGTTCGTTTTCCCAGCGTTGGGCCTCAATGGATATTTTTCAGATTTCTATCATACTTTTTTTTTTTTTTTTTGGCGCATCTTGACTGATTCACTTTCCCCTGTTTGATCCGCTTCCAGGCCCAGTGTGTTACCGGTACCGGCACAGTACTCGAGTACAGAACAACGACGTGCGGTTAGAACCGCGCCGTGGAGACCACTTCCTCTCTTCTCGGCCTCGGTTATCGAGTCGGATCGAGGGGGAGGGGGAAGGGAGGGGAAGAGAAGGGGATCCCCCCTTTTACTGTATAGTCATGACGAGTTTAACTCTTGAAACCCGAGTGGTCAATGCGGTTCTCGAGTTGAGGCTCAAGGAAGAGGAGGAAAGCTGTGCAAGTGCCCACCAGGAAAGTTGGCGAGCAGACAGCGGTAATCTACTGTAGGTTAACCTGAAAAGAAAAGAAAAAACATCTCCCGGTGCCTGTACGAGCGGGGGTTCAGGTTGTTGGGATATAAATAGTATTTTGGGTTGGACTTAGACTATCTGAGACACCGGTACTCGAGCACAAGTACACAGAACACATGGAACAGCGCTCTTATTGGCAGAAGTTCAGAGATTCGTCCAATTGCTAATCCGAATTAGGTAAGTGGTAGGCCAAGATGGGACTTGCGAGCGCCCTGAGCTCGAGTACTATTCGTGTGGTGTTAGTGGGTTTTGATCTGGCCCCAATTCCTTTGTACTTGTAGGGAGTTGAGTTCGGGGTTGCTTGCCCCTGCACAAGCTATTTCCCCTGCTCACTCAAGTTAACCAGAGCGGTCTTGAGAGTTGGACCGTGGAGCTGTTCTCCGATCAGGATCGGTATTTGGGAATAGTTGTTGCGGTCGAGTGTTGATGCGCTTCTTGTCGAGATGTTCTTTGAGGCCGGAGTGACTTGTATGCGTTGCATCCCGGATGGGACGGACAGGGCTAGAGTGCAGGGGTTGGTGGGTGGATGGAAATAGATCAGTTGGTGTTTCCAACTTGTTATCCTGCTCCATCTGGGCAGTCTTGCTGGGTCAATCGAGGATAAGTGAAGACAAGGCGGCTGAACCACTCGAGCATACAGTACCGTACTTGAGCATATTGAAGGGGAGAGAAATATTGTGAAAAGTGCCTTATTGACTTTGTGGTACCGAGCGAGGGTTACGGGAGGGACTTAAAACTGGGGTTCAACGCTCATCCATTCGGGGCTCTCTCCATCTGCGTCAGTCTTGAAGGGGGAGACACCGAGGAGACGTCGAGGAGAAGTGAAGTGAAGTAAAAGTAAAGTACTCGAGTAAAGTAAAGTGAAAAACCCTAAGATGAATGGAGCTATTCCATACCGTAGAGAATTTGGGGCACAATACCGGTATCGTACTGTACCCTACTATGCGGTACTATACGGTACTCGTACAGTACCGGTACCGGTACTTTTACTACTACATCCAAGGATGGATTTGATGGATGGAGTCGGATGGTCGTCCCAATCGAGTCATGTTTGTATGTGGGGGATGCGCCAGGAATGGAAGGGTAGGAGAGAAGGGGAGCCAATTGCGGTATTCTTAATCCTCACCCCCCCTCCCCTAACTCGATCCGTTGTGATGTTGCCCATTGTTGAGCCAGGACATGGTCGGGTGGTCATCATCATGCTCACTCGCCTGGTCGAAAAGCCTTGTCCACAGTATCATCATCATGGCTTGTGTGTATTTCGGGGTACTGGGGAGGGGGAAGTACCATGATAACGTTACAGCAATGTGGTGATGAGCGCATCGCTCACTGCCGCTACTGCCGTTAATGACTCTGGCTCTCTTGTCTGTTTGCTGGATCGGTACGAGCAACGGTACCTTTCGGGGGTTCTGAAAACTTGATCCATATGTACCGCCGGCCAATGCGGAAATACTCCGGTGTAGCTAAAGAAAGAAAACAGCAAGGCCAAAGGGGGAGAGAGGGCTATCCTTTATCAAACAAACGCTTCCTAACCTGGATCCAGAGTGTCTCAGTTGCACCCAACCATCGTGTATCAATAATAACATATTCTGCAGAAGGAGAGACATGCCAGCAACTTATAAGTAAGTCACAGTCGCGTACCGATGGGTTTCTTGTACGAGTGCATACCTCCTTCCCGCTCTTTCATTAATTTACAGTTCAAGCGTCGCTATCCGGCTTTTCCCCTTTTGTTGTCGTGGGGATAAAGGAGAGACGAAGAAGAAGAAGGAGGAGGAGGACGAGGACGAGGAAGGGTGTCAGGATACATCCTAACCTCAACTACAAGTATTCGCTGATTGATTGCTTGTTTGCCTTGCTACATATCCGCCGGCCAGATCGCGACATCCCCTTCGTTTGTGGTTCGGTTTCATTTTTTTACGGGATATCATTCACACTCCCAGATCCATACAACCCTTTACTTTTCGCCTCTCATAATTGTTTTACACCTTTTCTTAGTCGACACTCCGGTGGTCTTCTCTCACTCTAATATCTTCTGTACAAGTGCTCTCTGCGGCGTTGATCTGATCCGTAGCTTTCCCTGCTTTTTCCTTCTTTCCCTTCCTTCAGCTGTGCTACATACATACATACATACATACTCGAGTACTGTACAATTTCTATCTTACCCACCACTACAACTCGACTGGGCTCAACAACTTCCGCTGGTCCCCCGCATATGCACAAAATCTAGTTTCACTCGCGTCTGTCATTCCCTGCCGTGCCCGGAGGCTTTTAGTATTCTTCAACGATTCGTCCACGATTTTCGCCACATTTCTATTGTGCCCTAGTCCTAAACACTCTTCCCGTCCGTCCGGTCTTAACATTAACAGCTTCCCGGCCTCTGTCCACCAGGCTGACCTGCCTACCTCCCTCTCGTTTTCAGGAAGAAACAAATAATTCAATTCGATCCTCTACCTAACTCTCCCTTCTTTCACCCTTTTGAAGAAGCCTTGTTTTGGTATTAGGAGTGATGCCCTCTCTGCTTCCACTTCTTTCGTCGGGTTCGTCTCCGGCCCCTGTTGCCTTTTCTTCCCCGCCGGTCACGCCAAAGAAGATCCCGAAGAAGCTCCGTAGGCGCAATCCCCCCTCTCCTTCCTTGTCCACGAATCACCAGAGGCTGCCGTCGGCTGGGTCGTCCACTGTCTCATTACCGAAGTCCCGACCGTCATCTAGCAGGTCCACGAGCAGTAAACATGGCTGGTTCAGTGGCCCCGTAACTCCCCATCCATCCGGAGATGGACACAAAGGGGACCGGTCGCCTCAGGAATTCCATTCAAGACCTCCTCTTCCGCTTCAGCCGGCAGGCGTGATGACCCCTCCAGAATCCGGCTCTCCGGAGTTGAGGATGGCTAGGAACTTCCATGAGCAACAACATGGTAGATCGGCGTCAACTTCGCTAGTGGCAACAACTGAAACTCCGAAGCAAACGGAACTAGGGGGGAGTCTGGTACCTGCTCTAGGTCAACCACCACCGCAACAAGCGCAGCGGAGACCGCCGAACTTGCTATTAAAGAAAAATGGGAAAGAAGCTTTCAAGTCCTTTTCCTACGATATGTGTAGTAGCAGTATACCTGTTTCTCCACCTCCCTCGACCCCGCCTCCCGGCTCGGTCCAGCCTTCGTATTTAGGAACTGCACAATATCCGAATAATCTTCTCCAGCAGGCTCAGCCTGATGTGTCTCCTTCACTACGCCCAGGTCCGCCAGTGAAGGCGCAAAGTTTTACTACGCCACTGGATACGAATGTACCACCGCTTACTCCTGCTCAGCAGAGGCTTGTTGGAGGGAGAACTCCTAATGGATCGCCTATTCTTCCCCCACTTCCCTCATTTCAATCCGGTGGATTTGGTTTCGATAACCTCGACGACCCGTTTTCGAAACCGAAGCCATCGCCGACTTATCCGGGCCGGAGTAAATATAAGCCAGCTTCATTCTCCGCTCCGCCGGAACCTTCTGAGAATACTTCTACTCCACCATCACGTTGGTCGCGACAGGCCATGCCCCATCAATCCCAGCAGGTCGAGGAGCCGCAAAAATCTCAGGAATCGGAGGCCAATGAGGTCACTCCCGAACCGATGTCATTTCACGCAATCACGGCTGAAGAGCCTATCGTACTGCCCTCATCATCTGAAACATCACCTCAACCATCCCCGGAACTTAATGGCGCAGAGTTCGCCGAACCACCCCCGAAACCACAAGTGAATAGAAAGTCGAATGAAAGGGGCTCTTTCTTAGGTGGGTGGAAATTGGCGTTGATAAATTCGAGAGGTGCAAGTGCTAGCCCTGAGGATGTGAAGGCAGCTAGCCCCGACGGTGATGCGCCGGTAGGCGTTGGTGACGGTGGTGGGTGGATCCACAGGCGGAAGGGGAGCTTTTCGAGTACCCGGCCCCCAAGCGCCGAAAAGTCTAAGTATAAGCAATTCGGACAGGAGTACAAAGAATTCCGGGCACAAAAAAAGGCGGAGAGCGCTGCGTCTTCAAAGAGAACCTCAAAGCAGAATAGCGTTCCTACAAGTCCGATAGAAGGAACAGGGGTTAGTGCGATATTGGGCGGCGCCGGTTCTTCGAAGGATGCATCCGGGGAGAAAATGAAGTCTTCTGAGGCTCGTCAGATACAGCGGGCAGATGAGAGCGGCGTGGATGCGAATGAGATTGTCGGGCTCGATGTCGCAGTTAGGCAGATGAATCTACTTGAGCGACAGCTTCGATCCGGCCAGCCGTTGAGTCCACCTGATTCTAGGGACGGTGAAACTCGCCCTGTAGAATTGGACAAAGGATACCTTGCCAACTCTGAGCAGAGTAGAGCAAGTAGTTCTCTGCCATCCCCCACCGAAGGCCTGAAAGGTCAAAATCCTGTCCCCGGGCCACCACCAGCCCACAAAAAGAAAGAATCTAAGGGGAAGTCTCGCTCCCCCCTCCGTCACGAGATTGACTCCTCTTCTGCCCCTTCTTCCCCTTCAGCCCCCGTACCACCATCTACAGGGAAAGGTAAAGGCAAGGAAGTAGGCAGCAAACATGCTCAAGAAGGTTCAAAGGGCTCCTCGAGACACCCCGCGGACCCGCAATACCCCCCGCCATCAGAATACCTCGGACAAACGAAGGGCTCCGTAGCCGGGGCTGGAAGTAGTAGCTCTGCGGCGGGTCCGTCTGCCCCGTCGAAACCGGTTGCCAAGTTGTTCGTTATCTGCTGCAGATGTAAATACTGGCACGACCTTCCAAGCATAATGTACAGAGCCATGGTTGAGAATGGCGGCGCTACCAGGTGTCCGTATTGTCTACATGGCATGGAGGCTGCGTGTTGCTCTGGGTACGTAATCACTGCTCCGCCCTTCTTTTATAGTTTATGGGTTAACATAGGTCTTGTTGATAGATATACTTGCGTCGTATACATGCACCAAAAGCACCACGGTCTCGGTATTTAACGTTGGAGAAATGTGTTTTGGAGTAGTCTTTTAAAAAAGGGGGATTTTGCACATAGGGATAGAGAGCGTTCGCTTTGTAAATTTACTGCCATTTTCTTTTCTCTTCTTTTTGCTACGTGGGCTATGATGTTGGCGACTTGGGTTGGATCGAATGAGGGAATTTATAGTGTGCATACATGGCATTGTTGGAAAAGTAATGGGATTTATGGGTTCATGGGGTGTCACTCGGGAGTCTTAACTGGGGGGCGGTTTTGTGGGGGGGGGTGGCTGGGAGACGGTATGATATCAAAACAAGCCTTTTCTGGTGTTTACTTAGTAATGGAGCCATGGTTTTTTGGTATTTGGTGTTCTTTATTACGCACGGTAAGAGGGGATGAGAATTGGTGCCGTAATAGGAGATGATGGCCCGCGGTTAACTTAGGTTTTTGTAGAAACGTGTTATCCATCGAGCACAAGGGAAAAAGGCATGTTCGTTTCCCTACCGTTATAATCCGTGCCGCGACAGAAATCCGCATATCCCGCTTCCAAACCACCCCAGTGGTCAACAGCGGAAGGGGGGCCTTTGCCATCGCCCTCGCCTTCAATTCGACCTGAAAACGACTATGGTGAGTCAATGCGTATGGGTAGGAGCGAGCGCTGATGCTCGAGTTCCCAAGTGGGGCTTTTGCTAGCTGCACTGCACAGCACTCTCATAATATAATACAAAGCTAGAAAATATCAATCCCATCTCAGACCTCGCATCCACTTCTCCAAGGCAAAAAAAGTAAAAGAATTTCTTCTCCCCCCCTTTTTCTTTCTTTCTCTTTCTTTCTTTCTGCTATGATACACCGCCGATCGCTAACCTCAACCGTTAGATCTAGGGTCCAGAGTCGGATTATCATACCACTGATATCATAGCAACATTAGCAATCCCCCGCAAACCCCATCGACGAAGTCTAGGTTCTCCAATCTCCCAGTCCCCCATAGTACAGTATGATATTTATTTATTCCAATTACCCTACCCTAGAGTAGATGACGGCTCGTTCAATAATAACTCATCCCGAGCGTGAATTGAATGAAATCCCGGGCTCTTGCTGGTTGCTGCGGGGGGGTTAATTGGTTCTTGACATCTTGACCTCTAGGTGTGGTATTTCATCATGCAATGTTAATTTGGTAACAGATACTTATCATGTTGGAAGGTGGTTTTTCTTTTTTCTTTTTTTCTTTTTTTGTTTCTTGAGCGGGAGGAGCAGTGTTTTTCCGCTAAAGTCCTTGGGAGGTGGTTCAAGATATGATGTGATAAGACATTTGTTGGGGGGGGGGGTCTTGGGACACCTTTTTCTAATGGGTTTTTTATATAACATTTATTGGGGAATAGTATCATACTGGTACTTTGTACCCTTGTTGAAGTTACATAATGCTCGATGAGTATCATACCCAATTTGGCTCTGGGAGGTTACGACTGTGGGGAAACTGAGTCCCCTCCCTAGGCGTCAAATAGTAAAGAACCTGTGGTTTTATATATAGTACGTGGTTTGGATCATAAGATTCCCGGCGGGGAATAGATCTTTGCTGAGGTTCTCATGGTGTCAAATTGATTTCATCCTGCGCTAGCTATATTATCTTCACCTGCGACTTTGTTGGGAAAATGGGTCAACAAGGTGGTAAACGGAAAAGTTAGGAGTCAATAGTGTTTTGGAACTCGCAACTTTTATTTCGGATTAAATGACGCCGCCTGTCCTTTGTCACAGACATGGAGGGAGGAAGTTGTTGGGGAAATTGGCCGTGGTGGTGATAACCTAGATCTTATGTAGACTACAGTATTCCCCACAATATGGCTCGAAGCAAAGATACTTACGAACCACCTAGTGCCAAGCACCTGCTTGATGCGGGCCGCTCGTGGCGGCAATGAGACAACGTATTTCCAGATAGATGACGGGAATATAGTCAATAGTTTCGACGAGCTCCGGGGAAGGGTGCAATGCGGCATTCCCCACGAGACGCGGAGAATCCGATACCCGCATCCTATCGGCCATTGAGCGCACCGACCCGAGCGAGCTAAACACGACCGAATTCCTGCGATATGACTGTATGGCCAACGAGCGGAACGCAGGTGTAGTGCGGGCTTTTCCGGGCGACGAAAGGATCAATGTGAATGCACAAGGTGATGGTGGTTGGAGAGAGCCTTACATATAGCGGCTGGGCGCCGTGAATGGCATGTGGCGGAAATTCTCCTGTGCGACCCTCGTGTTGATGTCAACCTACGTAAAGAAATCCCTTTGCATGTCGCGGTCCGGTTAGGCAGGTTGGAGGCAGTTCGGCTGGTCTATTCCTATCGAGGGGTGGCATAAGACCCGATATCGAGAACAACAGAGGCGACTCGGTCAGAGGATTAGCACAGAGGGGATACTATTCCTATGAGATTAACGAAGCGATCTCGGGTTACGGGCTGGCAGAATGAAAGGGGAAAAAATTGTGCGCTGACCCTTCCCGCGAGAAGAGAATCGAGGGTAACTGTGGGCGCAAATGTTATTTGCGAGGGTGCTTCGGGTTCTATGGAGAGTTTGTCTCCAACCTTCTTTATTATAGTCTGTCTATGGAGGATTGTTTCACGAGTGATGCGGTATGAATTATGCACTTTTTTCTTTTTTTTCTGAAGACCTGCCCCTCGGGATAATAGTCTACTATTATACCATTATGCCCCTCACGAGAATAAGGCCTATCACACAGGTTTGTATATCAGATTAAGGAGACTGACAGGTCTATCCCTGCGATACAAACCTATGCAATCCACGATACACAATACCTGCGAAGACGAAAGTTGGTATGTGACTGCACGCCCGGCCGACACAACTGTAGATTAGCCAAAAAAAACAAAAAAAACACACAGTGGGTAACTCTACCTTGTGTAATGTTCGACCATCTAGAGAATCCACATTGGATTCAATCCCATGCGCTATACGCGCCTATCAACCTCCAGTCAAACCGCTGCCCTACATCATCATCCATTCCAGCACAATCCCCACCCTGCCGAGTGATCGGTCCGAATGTCGATCACATATTCCTAAAGACGATGAATCGGTCACTTACGATGGCATTAGACAGGATAACATTGAAGTTACAAACGACCACCTCGCCCGCCGTCGGGGCAGACGGTATGAAACTCCAATCCTTCCCCCAACCGTTCATACAGATATCATAGAAAAAACCAGGTTAATCGGAACCCATGACTTGCGCGCTTACAGCCGGTCTACCGAAAGCGATCCGTTGAAACAACGCTGGCGGAGAGCCTCTCGATTCAGCATGGTCCGCTGATGAATCCTGTTGTAATTCTTGTTTGAAGCTGTACTTCTTGCTCGATTGATGCTCTACCGGAGGGCTATAGGGCCCTATTTATGCTACAGGGGAGCGCGCTACAATCACCCATGACATGCGCTTTGTGCAAGAGAAAAGAAAAAATAAACGACAACAATACTACATAATGTAGTAGTAAAGAGAAAGGAAACACGAGCGAGGAAACTAAACTATCATAGTACCGCGATAGAGTTTCCGAGTAATCTCTGCTCTAGTCAACCGTGTAATGAGCTCAATCGCTTAATGAACCCATATCAAAATATTCTGTCGTAGTCAATGACAAAACCAATGCATATTTGGAAGTCATATTACAACAAACCCGACCAATGCCCGAGCGAGTGAGCGCCCGTGAGGGGACGACTTATCATGCGGATTCATGCTTACGCATAGCGCGCGTCTTTCGCCCGCTCCGGAGTCTCCGTACGGGCGGTGAGACAGTCGTCACGAGAATCGCAACTGTTTCGGGAGGGATACCTTGTACAATTATATCCTCTCAGTGGGGGCGTTGGGGGGGGGGGGGACTGGTTATCGCTGACCACTTTAGGGATTCAAGATGTGGGATATGTGGACCGCTACCGGAGCGGATTATAGGTAAGGTTTGACTACCTTACCGTATTTACAAGGGGCGGAAGAACAGGGAAGGCGGTCGGTCGGTCGGTCTCGGACTTTATTGGGAAGTTAGGAACATTTTACTAGATCTTCTCCTGTTCGTCGGGTTTAGGAACTTGTGCTACATCATCCCCTTGGTTGGTTGGGTATGGGAGTTTTTGGAGTGGCTTGTACTGTACATGTGACTCATGACCTCCTCTCTTGGGGGAGGGGACTGGTATGATACGTTGACATTGGAGGTTGTCTTAACCCGTCGATCGATGCATACCATGCAGAGATCTTGATGCGACTGGCGGAAAAAGGTGCTTTTTCGGCGCGGTTTCCGGAGTGTTGCCTGTTTGTCTTCACCCATTCCGACATTCCGACCGGCCAAACGAGCCATTGAATGCGCGAGACGACACAAGTAACCATCTCTCCCCCCGAGACCGATCCGGTACTGGAGATATGGAAGGGGCTTGTTGTTCGAGACCGACGGCGCGATTCGTAGCGGTGTTGGGGAGTTAATCAATCTGGCTGGTATACAGTAAAGTGTTTAACGACCAGTTGTTGCATGCGGTACGCTCGAGCCATCGTGGGACCAATGTGTCGGAGTTTCTGTCGGCATTTGTTTGCAAGCTCTAATAAGTGAGAATATGATATTATTATGTATTGTACTAAGCCTTGTTTAGGCTAGGAATAGCTTAATTCGAGCGTTATAGGGTTAGGAACCCGACCTCCAGCGTTGGATTATCATGATGGTATGCTAGTTGCACACGATAATCCAACCTTTTTCAATCACGACCAAGTAGAGCAGAAATTTCTGCACTGAAAACTGGCCGGTGCACTCGCGTGAATGACAAGAGATGCCTGATAGGGGTCGGTTTTGGCCATGGGCAAATAAATAGTAAAAGATAAAAATAACATTATCCCTACTCCGTGCGGTACAGTACTGTTCAGTACTGTACATGATGAATCCCCAGAATGTCACCGCCCGGAAGGGTTTTCCCAACTGCCCGGATCCCACCATCACGATACCGGTATCTAGGGTGCCGCTGTTGGCGGAAAACTAGGGAGACTCATTATGTACCAAAGTCGTCCGGTGGGGGGCTTGACCATCTCGAGGACCCCACCACCATCACCACCCAAAAAAAGACAGAATAATTCGGTACCAGCCCATGTGTGTGCCATGGTCTCCGCTAGTAAGTAAGCAAGTGTATAAGCTCTGAGAATGAAGGAGGATAACACAAAAATCACCGGAATACCATTCGCCAATTTACATGGAGTACCGGTAAGTTCACCATCACGCAAACGGACTCTCGATTAAGCTTTTCCCAAGGTACCCCTTCTGTAGAACTTGCCAAAATCATCTATTTTATACCATTTTAGGAAGTT